CAATGAGAAATGTAAAAGATCTCTGCTGACTTATAAAAAAAAGGAAATGTCAAGATCCAAAAATGAAATGAGTGGCGGCTCTTTAAGTAACAGAGGCATGTTAAAAAAAGTAAGGGTGGTGGTGTGGACGGTGCTGGAGCAGTCGGATGTGACACCCTGGAGTAGACCCATCCGAGAAGGCTGCCAGTTCCAGCCTGGAGACTAGCCTGAGCACACCGAGCACGTGTGTGTCTGCGGTTGTGGCTGGCTGAAGCTGCGGGTAGACTGGTGTGAAGGCCCTGTTGGGCTGTGCACTCTCTCACTCTCTCTTATTCAGTAAAATATATCAACTTGGAAAAAAAGAAAGGAGTGGTTACCGAAACTCCAGAGCACTAAAGTAAAATAGGAACTGATAGTTATTTCCGGTCCCAGTGGCTTGAAAAAGCATGCCAGGACTGTGCAGGTGTGCCCCAAACCCTGATGGGATGGAGAAATGGAGGACAAAGGATTATAGCATGATCGCATCCCACTAGAGGAGGCTTTCTCTCTCTCTTTCTCTGGCGAGTCCTTGTGCTCTCTGGCAACAAAAAAATTTAAAAACAATTTAAAAAATTAACATCTCCAATAAGAGACAGATGGACATCCCATCACCTATGTAGCATTCCAGCTGAGAATGTACAGCCTTAATTTAATGAAAAGGAACGAAATGTCAAAAAAGCACAAAACGAGAATGTTTCTATGGCAAAGCAATGGCAGGATGGGGAGACCACAGTCTCTTAAAAAAAAAATGTCATAAGAGATAAAGAAAGGCTGAGTAGACCAGACAAGCTTCAGGGGAGTAGAAAACCCAACCTGTAACCACAGCCCTGGCAGAATGCTGTCCAGCCGTCTCTTAGCGCACGGGCACACACCACACCACACCACACCTCACCACAACACACCCAGCGAGTGCCATGGAGGGAGGCACAGTGACCTCGCGAAGTTCGCAGAGGTGGACTCAGACAGTGCAAGCAAAGACAGTGGGCACCTGAAATCAGGCTTGGGGTCAGAGGGCAAACCACTCGGGTGGAGGAAGTCATGCATAGTCCACATCAGAACCATGGCCTGGGCTCACCTTTATCCTCTGGTGTCACCGAAGCAATGCGCGGCAGGGACAAAGCATGTTCTTACTTCACATTGGAGGGAAATTATTAGGAAGTGAATTGGTAACAGACCCTTCAAACCAAACAACAGTGGCTGCTTCCAGGCTCCTAAGGTGACAGCTTGTTTACCTATCACCTGCTTCATACCAAGGATCCAGAGGGCCAGGGGGTCAAAGGCTGAGGATTTTTTTTTTTCTTTTAGATTTTTCTTTTGCCATAGGGCAAGTGGACTCATGAGAAAGAGAGAGAGAAAGAGACAGAGAAGGAAAGTGAGAAATCACTGCCAGGGGAAAGGCCACAATCCCTTCTCTATTCTTCTCTTGGGATTTTGGGCCACATGCATATGCGCCCAGAGTGTTTCTCAGGCCACCAGGTCCAGGACTGAACCCTTGGAGTTGGCCATGTGAGATCCAGTGCCTTAACCACCACACTACCTGCTGACCCAGGGCTGAGGTTTTAGATGGTGCCAAACTTTAACCACATAACCACCTCTCTAAAAAAAAAAATGCATTTTTGTATTTCTGAATAAGTTAACTTTCGGCAAATTAAATTCTACCTGGGAGCTATTAAAGAATTATGTGGTAAATTACTTTATAAATTTAAAAAAAACTTCCCTTTTTTAAAATTAAAAAAAAAATTGCCAGAAGGCATTTGAGCTTGCCTGAGACCGAGAGACAGAGAGAGAGAGAGAGAGAGAGAGAGATAAGAAAGCACCCCCAGAGGGGTGTGGTTACACCACAATCCCTTCTCCATTTCTCCATCCTGTTGGGATTTGGGGCATCACACACACATGCCTGGGTGTGTTTTTCAAACCACTAGGGCCAGGAGGTCAACTGGGAAGCTGGCCATGTGGGATCTGGCTCCCTTATCCCCTACACCACAGAGCAGGCCCATAAAGAAAGTAACTTTTCTGCATTGTTCATAATTGACCCTGTGCAATTTTGGTTTCATTTTTTTTGCATTGAAATTTCTTCAGAAGGACTGAACTGTAGGGCAGGGTGACACAGGGACAGGGACCTAGACTGACCAGCCAGCAGCTCGTCTGCAAGGTCTTTAAGGCACTGTGGCAGGCTGTCTCATAATGCCACTCTTGCCACTGGAGGTAATGGCTGACTTCTAGAACATTCCAGTCTCAGGCTGCTCAGTGAACAGACAGGGAGTAGGGAGAGTGTCAGAATGGCCCAGGACTCAGCTCCGTGAGTTGAGAACATGCCAGGAGGGTTCTGGCCCAACATGGGTTCTGGGCCTGCTTGGTCAGTGGCTTAGTGTCTGTGTCTGACAGACCCACAAGGCAGCTCGGAGGAAAAGCTCGCAGGGTCTGCAGAGTGGCACAGGCTGGGAGGGGGTGTCCAGCCTCCCCTGCACAGACGTGCTCTCAGGGACCAGGGACTCAGCCCCAGTGAGGTGAGAGCTGCCTTTCCCATGCTCATTTTCACAGAGGGTGGAGTTCTAGACTATGTGACACGTGACATGCAAGGGACCAAGGCAGAAGCAGGTGTGAGGATCCAGCTGCCCTCCGTTAGACAGTCAGTGACCAGAGTACATGTAAAACTAGGGTGCCCTTCTCATGAAGGCTTCTCTCCTTTGGGAGAAAAATGGCTATTTTCATTTTAAAAATATGCTACAAATATTTTAATCTATCGCTCTGTTAATTAATTAGTTAATGAATTACTTTTTAAAGAAGTTTTTGTCTTAGGGCATGTGCGCTCACTTAAGAGAGAGAGAGTGACACAGTGAGAGGGAAAGCGAGAAATCGCCCTCCCTCCACCTCGAGGGGGAATGGCCACATTACAATTCCTTTTCCTCCATCCTCCTCCCAGGATCTTGGACACACATGCACACATACCCAGCAAGAGTTTCAAGCCAATGGGTCTGGGACTTGAACCGTGGTCGACCATGTGGGAGTACAGTGATGTGACCACTATGCCATGTGCTGGTCCCTGTTCATTTATTTTTTTTCGCATAATGCCACTCTTGCCACTGGAGGTAATGGCTGACTTCTAGAACATTCCAGTCTCAGGCTGCTCAGTGAACAGACAGGGAGTAGGGAGAGTGTCAGAATGGCCCAGGACTCAGCTCCGTGAGTTGAGAACATGCCAGGAGGGTTCTGGCCCAACATGGGTTCTGGGCCTGCTTGGTCAGTGGCTTAGTGTCTGTGTCTGACAGACCCACAAGGCAGCTCGGAGGAAAAGCTCGCAGGGTCTGCAGAGTGGCACAGGCTGGGAGGGGGTGTCCAGCCTCCCCTGCACAGACGTGCTCTCAGGGACCAGGGACTCAGCCCCAGTGAGGTGAGAGCTGCCTTTCCCATGCTCATTTTCACAGAGGGTGGAGTTCTAGACTATGTGACACGTGACATGCAAGGGACCAAGGCAGAAGCAGGTGTGAGGATCCAGCTGCCCTCCGTTAGACAGTCAGTGACCAGAGTACATGTAAAACTAGGGTGCCCTTCTCATGAAGGCTTCTCTCCTTTGGGAGAAAAATGGCTATTTTCATTTTAAAAATATGCTACAAATATTTTAATCTATCGCTCTGTTAATTAATTAGTTAATGAATTACTTTTTAAAGAAGTTTTTGTCTTAGGGCATGTGCGCTCACTTAAGAGAGAGAGAGTGACACAGTGAGAGGGAAAGCGAGAAATCGCCCTCCCTCCACCTCGAGGGGGAATGGCCACATTACAATTCCTTTTCCTCCATCCTCCTCCCAGGATCTTGGACACACATGCACACATACCCAGCAAGAGTTTCAAGCCAATGGGTCTGGGACTTGAACCGTGGTCGACCATGTGGGAGTACAGTGATGTGACCACTATGCCATGTGCTGGTCCCTGTTCATTTATTTTTTTATCAAATTAATTTTTTAAAATTTCCATTTCAGTTTTTACCAAGTAAATATTAAATATGACCCTCATAAACTACATTAACAAAAGCTCGTTGGCATGCTCTATAATTTTAAAAGCGTAGGGAGGCCCGGCTCCAGCACAGTGGTAAAGCATTGCCTTAGAGGCACCGGATCCCATGTGGCGACCGCCATCCAAGTCCTTGCCCTGGTTGGTCTAAAACACACCAGATGCACACAAATGCCTGGGCCCCAAGAGGCTGGGGGACTGGAGGAAGAGGATCACAGCGTGAACCAGACTGTGGAGGGTGCCAATCTCTCTTGTTCACATGCATGGGCGCTCACGTAAAAAGAAAAAGTGCCACCTGTCAGTAGTCACAGGACTGTCCCATTCACCACCTCTGCTCCTGTGCTCTCCTGTCTGCAGCTGAATGAGACTGACACAGGGGCTGGGTCCATCCCAGGAAACCTAAGGACTCAGCAACAGGAACCGAGCAGAAGTCCTTCACAATGGCTGGAAACGCAGACTGGCACCCAGAGCAGAGCAGGAGCCTCCAGTCCAGGGGCTCGGCAAGTGTCAGGCCATGTGGCGGAATTCGGCAAGGCCATGGCAGCAGCCGCAGCACGTGGCAGGGCTCCACCAAGCCAGCTACCAACAGGTGTTCTACCTGGAGAGAATGCTCCTGCATCCTTCACGAGACCACCCTCCTGTACAGATCCAGAATGTGGCCCGCCCAGGAGCGGAGAGGAACCAGACCTGCACGTCCCCACACATTCTGAGCCCGACAGCCCCTGACACCTTACAGTGCTGGTCTTGTCTTGGGGCACTCATCCCTGGCAGGTATGGCTGGAGAGGGGAACAAGCCTTCCAGCATGAAAGGCTTCTAGAGGGCCTGCTCCTAGATAGTCTCCTCAAGCAGTACCACAACCACTGCTGTAGGGCGAGCTGAGGTAGGGGCATGGCAGCTCTGTGTTCTGAGGACAGTGACAACATGACCTGAGATTGGGGGACCCAGGACGTGTTGTGGGCTGGGCAGCACGTACCAGGCACTTGAGCTCGTACTCCTTCAGCACCGCCGCGAAGCGCTCCTCCTGGGCTACGAGCTCCGGGCTTGGCAGCTCCAGCTGCAAGTCAGACCGAACAGGATATGATGGCCGGCTTCCTCCCCACCAGGCCCCGCCCCGCGGGTCCCTGCTCACACCTGGGGAACATCTGTGGCACGTTCCACCGCGGCTGCCTGGACAGCCTCTTCACCTCCTTCACCAGAGATGATGGGCAGGGCTGGGGGCCTCAGGGGGCACCAGGTGCTGGCCTCCCTCTGTACCCTATCACTGTGGCCTGTCACTAAAGGGGCAACTTGTCCTGGGCAGTGTCACTCTATCGTGAGGTTGAGCAAGACAAAGGGCAATCACCACACTCGTTTTCCCTCCATCTGGAATCTGAGTAGAAAACATTGAGTTCTGTCACCTGTGCAATCTCTCTCAAGACATGGGCCATGCTTAACCCACCACCGGCAGGCTCTCCTATCTCCCCAGGGACTTGGAACCAGTGAAAGGACCTGCCTTGTCCTTCAGCACAAACTCCAAGTCGTTCTGCAGCTTCCGGACCAGCTTCTCCGAATCCGAAAGCTTTCCCACCACTTCCACGATCTCCTTCTGCAGGCGACTGTTTTCCTAGGAGACACAGGCCCGTGGTGCATCAGGCTCCAGGAGCAAAGGAGGTCTAGGTGTCACCACTCTCCAAGTGGGAGGCTCATTCCCAATGGCATTTGAGATCAGGGAAGAAAGCCCGAGAGGCAGGGTGCCTGGGTGCCCGCTGCCACTACACCACTCATGATTGGTCCCTCAGGGCTGACTGTTGGGGCCCCACCAGGGCTCACTGCTTCCTGCTGCCTTTCCTTCCGTGCCTCCCACTCCATGCACCCTGAGAGGATAAGAGTAATACAAGAGAGGACTAGGAGCCTAGGACTTCTGAGCTGGGGCCTAAAGGAGGGTTTAAAACTGCGCAGCACAGCTCAGCTGCCCACCAAGGGAGCGAGGTGGCTCTGCAAATGCTGGGGACAGACAGGAGATGCAGTTCCAGGAGCTCACGGTTGGGAGTAGCTCCTGGGAGCGCCACAGGTGGCCAAGGAGAGCTCCCCAGTTGGGAGAGGAGGTGGGAGCAGACTGGGAACAGGCACGCAGGCTAGCACCTAAGTCCTGGCCGTGCACAGAGCATGAACACCTCCATGAAGCCCGGAATACCGTGCTCCAAGCTACAAACCCAGGGCTGGGCTTTAGGTGCTGGTGTGTTTCCTACCCCACAGGTGCTGCTGGCCTCTGAGATGTAGCAGCACCTCCCTCAAACTTCCAGCCTAACTTCCCCAGGGTATAAATGGAGCAAGAGCAGGGAGGCAGGAGGGAATGCCACTCCACAGAGCCAGGGCCTCCTGCTCTGAGGACAGGACACCTTCCTGCTGTGGCAAATGCTCCTCAGTCTGAAATCTCAGGCAGCTCTGGTCACTGAGATGAAGGCCCTTCAGGGCTGCCAGAAGGGGCTGGATCCTTAATTAGGAAGGTGTGGAGCAGGACTGACCTGGGTCCTCCCTCCAGCTGCCTGTCTGCCCGCACGCAGGTCTGTCTTTTCCAGCTGAGGCTTGTGACTCCCACCTACCTTCAGGGCCAGGGTCAACTTCTCGCGGAGGCTGGCTTCCTCAGCCTGCAGGCGCTCCACGTCCTGCTCCAACGCAGCCCTCTGCCTGCAAGCCTGCTCCCAGAACAGCTCCCGCTCCATCTCCACCTCGGACCGCAGCAGGCTCAGCCTCTCCCTGTAGCCCTGCTCCAGGTGCCTGGAACACACCACACACCACCTCGGACTTCCAGCACTGCCCAGGCCCGGGTCCAGCCATCTTTCTTCTCAGAAACGCCCTGCTGCCCACTGTCTCAGATCCTGTCCCCCTACTCGACAGAGAGGGTCGCCTTTTCTCAGCTGACTGGCCTGGGGGAAGGGTAGGCCTGGCAGTGGGCGCTCTTCCCTCTCAGGCTGGTGGGGGGATGGGGGGAACCCCAGACAAGTGGAGCTAGAGGGTGAATGGCTGGGCCAGGAGCCCTCTGCCCTTTCACTCATTGCCTTCCACACTGTACCCAACTGTGTGTGAGAGTCAGCTTCCCTCAGGAAATAGGCGCAACAGAGCCAGCAGACAGCGTGGTGGTTAAGGTAGCTAGATTCCACGTGGTCACCTGTGTGGTTCACTCCTAGATCTGGTGGTTTGAAAACCACACTGGGCATATGTGCATGCCCAAATTCCCGAATAAACAGAGAAGGGATTGTGGCATGGCTATCCCTGCTGGGGTGATTTCTCACTTTCTCTCTCTCTCATTCAGTATCTCCATGGCAAGCATACATGCCTTCTAGCAAAAATAAAAAATATTAAGAGTCATACCACGGGGAAGTTAATTTTTGGTTTTATTTTTCCTTGCATGTGCATTTTTCTAAATTCCCTACAATGATCAGGTGTTACTCACCAGGTATGTAATAGGAGAACCTAAGAAGAACCTAGGAGTTACTCCTAGAAGCTAGTGAACCCCCCCAGAGCTTGTGGGGTGCAATCCAAACACACCTGCACGGCCCTGGAGGGCTTCCAGGCGGCGGCTCGGCATCTCTCTCCATGTGGCCCTCACCCAGGTTCAAGGACGCACAGCACCCTAGCTCACAACCTCTGATGCCAAGGAGACATGGCACCGACTGCTTCTCGAGGGGCAAGAGGTAGTCAAGGCCTATGTATCCTGACCAAAGCAAACTGTTCTCATTACTCAAACCAACCAGGTACGACCAACGTACAAATATCATCAGCCTTTGAACACAATTGTTTAAAAAGGAGAGTCTTCCATGACCATCCCAGAGCTGGGAAGTGGAAAGTGCTGGGTGGTGAGGGATGGTCATGTGGAGGTCAGACTCTGCTGAAGAGCCTGGAGATGCCCCTCACACCCCCAACTTCCCCCAGGGCCTTGACGAGGCAGCACTGAGTCCTGGGGTACCCACGAGGAGCAGCCAGAATCGATCCC